GTGTGAAATTGCAATCACATCTGTGAGCTACGTGCCCCAGTGCGTGGAATTCCAACATTAGCTGTTGTCACAATTTGGCACTGAGGCATAGTGAATAGTTCCTACCCTGCCACTTTCAGACAACCAGGCCATCTGTCAGGGGATCCTCATTTAACCTAGAGGGGAGGAAAAGGTCCCTGGGGCCTGAAAGAGACGTTCAAGTTAGACAGGTGGAAAGTGGTTTCTAGAAGAGTACGTGCCAAAGTCTGCAGGCAAGTAAGTGGCAGGCTGCCTGTGCTTGGCACAATGTCTGGGTGCACAGTAGGTGAGTTTTTGTTTTGTTTTAACTTTATGCTGAAGCAGGAAGGGGTTCATAAACAGGTAGGGGGTTGCTCAAGACCAGCTCTGATTGCATCAGCATTCTGACACGAGAAGAATCCTCCTGGCTCACTGAGAAACATGCAGCGACGGGTCATTCCGGAAGCAGAGCATTAGCTGTGCATTTGGAGAGCGCGAGTACCTTCCACATGCCTGGAGCAGTGCCAATCACGGGGCAATGTTAGTGACTAGGACAGACTCAGCCCCTGAATGACTCACAGCATCCAGTGTTCCCTGAACAGGGTACAAAAGGCACAGGGCACACACATGAGGCCAACAGGGCAGTTAGCGAAGGAGGCCAGGCTAGGGCAGCAGCTGCTTCAGGGCCAGCAGGGAGCTGGGATCTCAGTGCTCACTCACACCCAGGTCTGCGCAAGCCAGTGGCCGGGGAAGAGGTCTGTTTATAGGTTATGGGGCTGGTACCTTCTGGACTGGTTTGGCTTCAAACTGTATCATGAGTCAGAAAAACCATTCTGTTCCAGTCACGATATGGTCACAGAACTTTGGTGTTTATTTCCTCATCTGAGGAGAGGAACAATGTCTCACTTCTCTCTTTCCTGAGAGGAGACCATAAGGTCATGAGAATTCTCCAGAGGACCTCCCATAAGCAAGAGGATTCTAGCCCTCAGCTTTCTGGTTGGTAGAACCTCAACACTGATCCTATTAAACTCATTTCTTCTTCTATTTTTTTTTTTTTTTTGAGAGGTTTTTGCTATAGAGTGCGTGCGCTCGCCAGACAGACCGAGAGAGACAGAGAGACAGAAAGCAAGAAATCACCCCCCAGGGGGGATGGCCACACTGCAATCCGTTCTCTTCCATTTTCCTCTCGGGATCTTGGGCACGAACGCACACACGCCCGGTGTGAGTTTTAAGCCACTGGTTCTGGGACTCGAACCGCAGTCGACTACATGGGAGTTCAGTGACATAGCCATTACGCTAACTGCTGGTCCCTCTTCTATTTTTTTTAAAGCCCACATATACATAAAATTGTCAGATCGTATGTGTGCTAACCAGAGAGAGAGAGAGAGAGAGAGAGAGAAAAGCACCTGCCAATAGGGTGCGATTGTGACACAATCCATTTTCTCCCACTTCTCTGTCTCGTCAGGATTTGAGGTACAGATGCACACAGGCACGTACACACGGCTGGTGTGTATTTCAAGCTGCCCAGGTAGGGATTGGAATAGCGGTCGGCTATGTGGTGCACAGGGCGTAACCACTGCATAGCAGGGCTGGCTCCATTTCTTCTTCCATTGTCAGTGAAAATCCACAATGTTTTTATGGGATTCTGAGAGATGCTAAAGTTGTAACTAAAATTCAGCCACAATCCTTCAGGCTGGAGAGATGGGATGATAACAGAGGCTCAGATCAAGTTCCCCACACAACTTCCATTTAAATTAAACTTCCTTTAATGAAATAAAAAACAAATGGTGCATTGCATAATATTTGTGGTCACAGTATAAAACAATACAATTAGTTCATATAACATTAGATATGGACAAAAATACACGAGACCCTTTCTTTGTCTACGGAAAATTCTGCAGATCCTCATGTGCCACACTAAAAAAGAAAGAAAGTCAGCTTTTTTCTTCTAGTGATCTGCACACCTACTTATCACTGAGAATTTGGTCAAACAGTGGAGGAGAACTTACCCAAATCCTAGTTCCCTTCTTCCTCTGTTGTCATCGGTGAAGCTAAAAATAAAGTTTTTTGAAAGTAGCAAGTTGTACAGTATTGCTTATTATTCCTGCCAAAAAGGCTCAGTCTTTGGCTCACAGGTGTCAGTGACAAAATCATCGTTGCAGGCAGACTGCAAAGCAAGAAGCAAGAGCCACCAGGGAAACAGATGAAGGTCTGGGCAGGAAGGGGATTCTTCACCAGGTTCTTAGGGAAAGCCACGTGGGTAGGAGGGTGGGGGAGGGCGTACAAATAAATACATTTCTAAATTAAGATTTAATCCAGTTGGTGAGCCAGAGTTCCACCATCCCATGAAAGTTCTGAGAGGTTGTTAAAAAGTCAGTGTTTGCATTTTTTTTTAAAGTGAAAGGTGTATGTAAACATCATAAAGTAAACAATTTAAATAATTCTGAGGCTTCTATCTGAACATACCTTAGGCTCTTTCTGGGATATTTTTATGATAAGAAAAAAAAAACCCAAATGCTCATCAAGTTCCTTATTGTTTACAAGTGCAATTTTACCCATGTGAGGCATGGCTAGGTCCTTCTCTCATTCACACCAGTGCTACTGGCAGGAAACTCTTCCAGAAGAGCACTTTGTGAGGAGCCCTATTTGGTACAAAAGCGTGTAGCACACACTTTTAAAAAACGCACATCCCAGGCAAGTTTACGTGCCTAGCAGGAGCTAGGTCCTTGGTACAATGCACTGGGATTCCCCCTTTCTCTCAGCCCCAGGGAGACCTGCAGTTTGGCAGAGTGGGCAGGTCAATGCCTCAACAACTCCAGCTTGCACTGCACCATCACCTGAGAGGAAAAGGTTCAATGTGTGAGCCCCTGTCACTTTCACCACCCTCAAGTGTCTAGCGAGACCCAGTCCACGGTTTTACATACACCTGGGGCCACCTGGTTACATCCCAAGCTAAGGACCCTTCCTTTCTATTGAGAAGGGCCTGCATTCTAACAATCTTAAATCTTCTTTGAAAAATTGAGAGGGCTCAGGGCCCTGGCTGTTACCAATATAGCACGTGCTGATATTTGTTCTCTCCTAATTGTACACTCACCTGTGACCCACCTCCTCTGAAGCAGCAGTTAAGAAATGACAGGTAAAAGGCCCCAAATCTAGCGCCATCAAGGCCTTCTCCCTCTTTGTCCTTCATGCTCTGGTGGGGCATACCTGCTGCCTCTCTTCCTGCCATAGAATCCAAGTCTGGAGGCCATCTGTGCTGTTACCATCGAGGTAGAATCTAGTTTCTACCACATGACTGGTCCCCTTGGTGGGCAACAAAAAGGGAACGCCTTGGTGGACATCTGCTTCCTGGAGTGCTCGGTAATAAGTGCAGAACTGTTCGTGGGCAGCAGCGAGGGAGGCGGAGGGGAGGTGGTAAGCCGGGCCCGGCCCATGGTGACAAAGAGCCGCACATGAATGGCCATCACTTTGTATTACTTTATTGCTCAAAACAAATGAATCTCTTTCCCCCTTTGGAAGACAGAGCAGTGTTAGATCCTTCAGAGCCAGGATCAAAGCACAGAGGATTGCAATTAGGGCATCAGTCACCAGTGAGCTTCAGAAAACCCCACTGGGATGCTTCCCAAAGGCCAGTGCTGGGCAGGGGTGAGACACTTCAGGGGTAGGGAGGCTCTGAGGGGAACGCTTTTAAAGCAAAAGAAACTGGGGATACAGAAGGTCTCTTTCTGTCCACTGTGCTATTCCTGTTGGGAGCAGTCGGGCAAAGCAGACTGCTCTCAAGTCTGCTTTGTAGGCCGTTCACATGACAGCAAATTGCTGGGTTTCCTTCATGTTCCTGACAGGAAAGCAAACATACCACAAAGTATACCCTTCCTCACTAACCCCCTGCAGAGGATCTTTAAAAGACTTGAAGGACTGCAAGGGTCATGGAAAATGCATGGTTCTTCTAGGCAATTTTGGATTCCTTGAAGTCAGTCAGTCTTGCAAGCAGCAATTTGCCTTCACGTTGAGGATCCCAAATAGCATGTGAAGGATGAGGCAGACCTGTGGGTCCCCCAGCACGTCCCCTGGTGGCCAATGCCTTTGCCTCTCACAAACGCCAGGAAAGAACGGAAGTGGCTTCCTCAGCCAAACACACTCATCACCACTGATCCTCCGGGCTAGAGCTGCGTAAACCTAACTTTCCAGGGTACTTCGTCTGCTCCCCTGGGCTCCCCTGAAGCATGGTGGCCTCTGAACTATTAGAGTGTCTGTCTTTTCCTTGTCCTCAACCTCCTCTCCCTTGCAGACCTTCTTACTGCCCTGGACAGAGGTGGCTGTGTATTTTTCTTCATATTCATTCTTAAGGCTAAGGTGGCAAGATAAGGTGCTCGGTGGAGAGCCAAATTCTAGATTCCAGGGCCGCCATTTCAGCACTCTCACGTAACACAAACACAAAGAAATGGAAAAGGGGCGGAGAAGCAAAAAAAAAAAAAAAAAAAAAAAGCATGGGGGCTCAATACGAACTTACG